AGAAAGCAGTCTGACCAGCTGACCCACCATAGTTGTTGTTCCACCAGCCAAAGCGGCTCGGGTGCCATGATAGAAATCATCCACTGAGGTGTAGTTTTGCCACGGTTTTTGAAAATGTGTTTGTGGATCAATTCCACCTGGAATCACCATTTTGCCGGTCGCATCCAACACATGGTACCCGTACTGTGACATGATGGACGGCGCTACCTCACTGAAAAATTCCTACTCTTCAGCATAACTTGAAACTCTCGTAGTTAGTGATCTTAATGACTACTCTGTATATGATTTTATAAAGCATATAGTTAGACAGCATTAGGGACCACAGGTTTACACCTTACTTGGCTTGAAAGCGGAAGTTACGATCAAACCAAGGTGTCAGTAAAGGCAGGGATTCATGGAAAAATCATGAGGCGCTCCGAACTCAAGAAAGGAGTCCCATTGGGTAAATCTTATCGGTTCACGGTGCAAACCGAGAACTCCTGTGCTCTGCATCTCACAATACGGAGTAGTATCCGCGGCCAGAGTCCGACGGCGAGGGTGTGGACTAAGCGTAGTTCGCTGTCACGTAGCGATCGCCACTGGTATGGCCCATCCTAGGCCCAACGAGGGGCACCTTGGCTGCGACATGCGAGTTCTCTCTTATCTTTTAGGGCCCCCCTCTGTCCTCTGACTTTCCAGTAGGTACTATATTTACCCCTCTTCGACCTGTGACTTTATCGTGGAATCCCCCCCCCCCAGTGGGGAATGCCAACAGGATAACCTTCCCAGCTGTGGGAAGGTAGAACATATATCCCCGCGAAATAACTTTTAGAAGGCGTGCTTAAGGGAGGAGTATAATTGTTCAAGTGATAAGCATGTTCAACGATGATATCGGATCCACCCCATCGACAGCTAGAGGGGTCGTCGTGGAGCTTCATCAGTGGGCCCGTAACTCGGATTCGGCACAACGTGACGGCTGGCCCCTACAGATTGTAAGCTGGTGCAGTAGTAAAAACTTTTCCCCTCCACCTTCTCTTTCAGAAATCAATGTCAAGGGCTCGAATAAGCGCTTTCCCCAAGAGTTTTGCTGCGAATGTATTCTTGCTAGGAAGTGAATATTTGAAGCATAAATATGTGCTCAGCATAACTGAAGGTAAATGACACATAAGTATCATTATGACAGATGTGAAATATCGTTGTAATTAGTCCCCGAAAACTCATAATTACAGACCGGAATTCAATTATTGAATTGGGTTATTAATAGAAGAGTTCATAAATATGGAAGAATCCATAAATAACTAGTGCATGTGACTCTATCTCTATCGAAAAGTAATTCTTTAGTGAGGTAGGCATAAAAAGGAAATTTCGTACTTTCCAACAAATTATAGAAGCAAGGAGCATGTATGTAAAAAAGTTCACAGAAAAACCTAAAATTTTTTTCGCCCCAGGCGGGACCTTAGAACACGCACCTCTCGCTTTCCAGGCAAGTTGCGCTTCCTTTGGTAAAGTATACGCATGAAGACTGGTTGTTATGAAATGGTGCCCGGTAGCGTAACTGGTAGCGCACTTGCCGAGAGCGCGGGTTCTAGTCCCGCCTGGGGCGAAAGTTTTGTTCACAACCCAGCATTCTTGTGAAACATTCGCAAGGCGAACTGCGGCCAAAAACAGCAGTTAACAAACAAAAACAAGTCAAAAATTTTATTTCTGTTTTACTTTAGAAAAAGGAAGCGATAAGCATCAGGGCCACGAAAATTTATTCTTCTGTGATTGTGAATATTTTTACTTCAATTTCCAATTTTTGACTTATTGTTTCATTATGATAAACTTTCTTTTTGATCAGTTTTTCTTCTTCAAGTAATTTTCTACAATGGCATTTTTTTCTGCTTTGGAAATCAGATGCTGCATCGAGTGCAGACCACACACCACATGACGACAGCTTTCAGGTAAATCTGGCTACTAGTGATTCATGGTCGTAGTTGATAGCTGATAAATGATAGTTGTAATTAGTGACAGCTGATAGCAATGCAACTGTATTTTTTCATTGGCAGAGAACATTAACATTTTGTGGAGGCCGTCGTCATTTGTGGTATATGGTCTGCATTCGACACGCATTCGGTTTTCGGAGAGGATAGATATAAGTTGGCTCGAAAAATCCTTGAATTATTGATTTTTGTGTTGGGCGCCTTATTTATTTTTTTCTTTTACTTATTTACTTTTTATTTCTTATTTAGTTATTTTTATGTTTTTTTACGCCAATATCAGTATGATGCGTGGGGAACTCATGCAACAGTGGGCAAGGCGTTAACACACTGAAAAATATAGGGAGGAAAAAATCTCAAAATGAAATCTGTAATAGACCAAAGCTCTACAATTGCTTTCCATACCAGCACAATCAATGACTTATTGATCTTTTTTACCCACACCACCTACACCTGGCCGTTTTTTTTAAGCGTAATAAGTAGACAAATAAGTAAATAAATCAGCAAATAAATAATGGTAATCGTCAAGGCTGAAAACCCACACGATGATGCCATTCTTGACAAGAACATCAGCGATGAACATCTCATCTTCATTGACGACGGTGCCGTTCTTTATGAGTACAACCATTCTGAGCTGTCTAATGGAACAAAGTTGACATAATAAAGATGAAATAGCACAATTTGGTTCATTATAGTCCTTGGACTATGAGGCAAGGAAAGTCGGGGATACGGCATATACAGGGAGGCAAATAAAAAAAGACATTTTGTCTCCAGACTCAAATGGATTTAATCACACTTTGCTCAGCTCAAAGCGTGTGCTCCCAACTTAGAATTGAAGAGCGCATTTCATTTCATAAGAAAATCTTCATAGTGGCCATCTACGTGGACGGCATCAGAAAAGTTTGCCCCGGAAACATGGTGCTCTGGTCGAGCTCAGTGGGGTTCTCGACTGATCGTGTACCGTTACGACGGGTTCCGAAGGGCGGGTTCCGAGGGGGTTTGCATAGTTAGAGCTAATGTCTCCTAGGAAACTATCCCACGTTGAATCGATCCAAGAAATTATGCAAGAGCTTCAGACTAAAGCAGTTACTGTAGGCCTCCCTGAGCTCGACGACGGTGACAGATGACGTCATATTCTGAAGACGGTGAGGGTAGTGAAGGAGGGCCTGCTTATAGAGGGACATTTAGGGAATATTTTGCTGAGGAACTTCCGTCAACGACGGCAATCTCTGCGAAGAAAAAAGGCCGAAGTGCGACCTGGCAAAATGTCTTTTTTTTCCCCCCCCCTGTATATATACCGCTGCCATACAGGCTTGGTCAGTTTTTTCAAAGGGGCATATTTCGCCAAGATGGGGCCGAAAGGATTGGGAATAAGAAATAAATTTTGCATTCCGGGGCCTTTTAAGAGAACCTTGAAAACGCTGGCGATTTCCGCCGTTCCATCCCTACTCCAGACGCACTGTTGGACAGAGTCTCGAAGCAGGTTCAAGGTCCGGGTTCCGTCAATAAACCACCGAACCGGTGTGTAAAGACAGGGGGTCGTGAATAGGCAGAACACACTGCTCTACCTTTGCCACAGTGCTAATAACGAGTTGGTCCTATCAAAAATAACTGTCAATCAAAGGCGAAACAAGCAGAGATTGCTGAGATCAAAGAGCAAGCCACATGTTGCTCTCTTGCTTTTCCTTGTGGGAGGAATACAAGTAGCTTTTCAGATTCGTAAATTATTCTAGTGCAGATGATTTATAAAAATTCAACGCCAGTTTTTTTCGTTTTCGGAATACAAAATGGAATGATGGCATTTGTTCGAACGTATGTATCTCACACATCAGTTCTCTCATGAAGTCGTTTGTTCCGACTTCATGAGAGAAACAGATTTTAGGGATATCAATATCACTCATATATCATTAGATGGGTACAACACGAACGTAGGCCGCGAAGTGGACTCGCAGTAGACAAGAAAAAGAAAAGAATCTGTCAACGCTACAATTGAATTAAGAATTCCACATTTTTGTACCTCGACTG